GGCTGGAGGGACAGAGACGGCTGTGGGCTGCGGTGTGAGGCCTGCTCGGTACCGGCAGTCCCAGGGTGTTTGAACCCTTTAGAACTCAGTGATCCCTCCGTGTTGTAGGGAGATGGTGCTCAGACATGCCTGAGTGCCATATGCCCAGGGGTGGCAGCAGGAAGTGGGAGGAGGTGGTCGGTGCCCATGACATTGGGCTCAGGTCCCAGGCCATGCAGTTGGACTTTCTCCTTTAAGAGGGGTAATCAGAGTCTAGCCTGGCCTGACTCTCATGCTCCCCAGCCTCTCCCCTTTCATGCAGGTTTTGCTGAGTCACTGGGTGAGGTCTGCCCTCTCCTGCAAGCTGCCCGGGCTCATCCTGAGCGCTGCCCCCCACCCCCCCCGTTCTGCCTGGGTTCCCTGTGTGGCAAACCCTGGGAACACGGGAGCTTCCCTCAGCTACAGGAGGGTGTCTGTAAGACAGAGAGGGACAAGACCTCCTGAGAGGGTCGGTGGGGACCAGATGGGAGGGGTGGGGGGACCAGATGGGACGGGTGGGGGGCCATAGAAAGAGCACAGACCTGGAAAGAGAGCAGCTACACTTTGGCCCTTCCCCCCACTCGCCCTGGGAGCCCGAGGAGGTGGCTAAAGCCCTTGTGGGTGCACTTGCCTTCTGCTGAGTGGAGAGAGTGGGACCTCTCGCGGGGTGGTCGGCGGAGGTCTGCACCTGTGTCCTCATCTCCGGTGGAAACGAAGCACCAGCCCAGGCTCGTGTCTCCATATGTCACTTTGATGTCCCATTAGTTACCGGAATCTGGAAGCGGTAGCTCACCAGGGCTGGGGGCTGTAAGAGGACGCTTATTTCTCAACACTGGACCTTACATGGCGGGTTCCCCAACTTGGTGTCTCTCATCGGGCTTGCATGAGACCCAGCGGGGCAGCAGATCGTGATCGTGGACCTTCTTTGTCCCCCCGCAGGGCCTGAAGAAGATCTCTGCCTACATGAAGTCCAGCCGCTTCCTCCCACGCCCTCTGTTTCTAAAGATGGCCGTGTGGGGCAGCAAGTAGGCCTCCGGGGGCGGCGATGACAGCGAGGAGCCAGATCTCTGCCTGCCCTGTCTCCCCGAGCAGCTCTCTGGCTTCTTTGTTCTTTGTGACATTCCTCTGTCCCCATGAAATACCTTATGGGCCCCTTTTTTCTCCCTCCCCACCCTGTTTTCATCAGGCCCTTTGACGCCAGCTGCCTGCTTGGGCCCCTTCCCTGCCCCAGCAGTGCTGGCCCTCCTGTGCTAGAGCAGCCAGAGCCTCTTCCCTCAGTGGTGGCTCCACACCCAGGAACCGGACTGGAGTCCTGGCCTGTAGCGCTCAGCCCCGAGCCCCCCGGCACAGCCCTGAAGCCCAGAATGGTCTGGTGTGCACTTCTGGCTCCCCCACGGCGTCCCTGCCCAGCCCAGTCCTACCTCCAGTAGAGCCTTACTCACCCCACGCGTCTTGTCTTCTTCCCTTCTGGCCTTTCGATTCAAGACCCACTGTGTTTGGTGATACGTGTGTCCCATTTTCTGTTGTGCATTGTGCCGGCTCCGTGGATGGGGATGTGTGTGTGGTGTCCGGAAAGGGTACCGGTAGGGTTATAAGGAGTCTCGTTCGTTTCCATCTCTACTTCATATGCTTCTGTGCCTCCGCATGGGTCTCCAAGAAAGAGAGAGGCCCTTCTGTGTCTGGGCTCCTATTTCATTCAGCACTCCTGAAGTGCCCCCCGTGAGCTTGTAGTAAGCACTCTGTGTCATGGTTCGGGGTCTGTGGGGGTTGAGCAGTCCACTGATCACGTGGGATCCCGACTGACCACATTCCGTCATCCTCTCCTGAGTGTTTTCCCTGCTTTAGATACCCTTCCTCTGTGCTCTTACAACTCTGAAAGTTAAAATGAAATGTAATCACCTATGTTAAGGGGGTCGGGGCACCTGGGTGGCTCAGTAGGTTAAGCATCTGACTTTGGCTCAGGTCATGATCTCCTGGTTCATGGGCTCAAGCCCCACATTGGGCTTTGTGCTGACAGCTCAGAGCCTGGAGCCTTTTTCGGATTCTGTGTCTCTCTCTGTCTCTGCTCTTCCTCGACTCATGCTCTGTCTCTCAAAAATAAATGTTTAAAAAAGCCAGAGGAGGGGTGTTTAATATGCATCTGGGAGGCTGTTAAGAAGGAGATAGGCCTTATGCACATCCTCGTTAATGAAACCATGAACTTTGAACTGCGCTGAATTGCAAATATTCCAAAGACTGCCCAAATGCCTGCACCTTTCTTCAGTTAGAGAATTCGCTCAGTAATAGCCTTAGCAGCCAATTACATTCAGCCAACATTAGTTTTCTGCCACCAACACCAATCACAATTCTTTGTAAACACACATAAATGTCTTTTAAAACCTTTGACTTTTGTTCCGTAGGGGAACTTGGACTGCTGCCCAAGTCTGTGCTCCCTGGATTACAATTCTGAGACCCTGAGTACATGTTTTGTTTTATTTCATCTTTGCCTCTTGGTCAACATGACATCTCTCAATAGAACAAGAAGGGATAAGAATGAAAAGGAAAGAAGTAATAGAAATTAGGAGGGACACTAAGTTAAAATAGATGTAGATCTAGAACAGGAGTTGGCAGATGTTTTCTGTAAAGGGCTAGATGGTACATATTTTTGGCCTTGGGTGCCATATGGCCTCTGTCACAGTTACTTGTCATTGTAGCATGTTAGTTTGCAAGCTCCTCAGCATCTTCCCAGAGATAATCTGAGACCGGCCCCTGTACTAGGAGGGCAGGGAGAGGCAGAAGAAAGTGACAGGTCACTCCAGGCTGTAGGTGACAGGTTTCATAAGCATGGGAACTAACATAGGAGGCTTGTCGTGAGTAGGTCTCCACAGCCACCTGCCAAATCTTAAAAATTTATATAGAGACCTTAACTGGGTTTAGTCATGTGTACCGTTCAGATGATCTCAACATCGCATCGCTGTCTGAAGGCCATGTCGCTGACAATGATAAATAACCTTATCTTAACAACAGCTAACCCCTCAAGGGCCTGGAAACCTTGCTTCCAAATTCCTTAGAGATTTATGCTATCCCTGAACCCCCGCCAATCTACAAATATATAATCTGTCATCTGTCACAACCCCAGTACAGCTTTTTCTGCCCATGGGTCCTGTTCCCCGTGGTTTAATAAAACTACCTTTTTGTGCCAAAGATGCGTCAAGAATTCTTTCTTGGCTATCATCTCTGAACCCCCACATTTACACATCATTTGTTGATCATGAAGGGGCTCAGTCTTTCCATCTGGACCCTGAGCTTCAGTGCAAACTTGGTGAGCACTTCCTCTCCTCTCCCTTTACTTTCACTCCAGGGGCTTTTCAAGGAGGATGGTCTTATTGGAACACTTTTCATGTCGATTGCACACGCTGCAATCCTCTAGCCTGTGGCTACTCTCTGGGGAAGAGAAAGCTTGCCTTTGGGCTGGAAGTTAGTACCATGGCCAGAAAGGTGATAAAACCCAGAAACTTGATGCCCTCCCTTTATTCCTGTCCATATACAAAGTTGTCTGTCTTGGGCACGAGACAGCCACCTAAGTAGCTAGCACAGCTGCCCATCTGAAGACTCCTGTGTGAGGTCTCCTCATTGGTATAATGTGATCCCTTCCACATCTCTGGTCTAGCCACTTCTGGCGGCGGGATTTCACTTGGAGCCGGTGGAAGCCAGTACCCAATTGAATTAAAGCCCACCGGTGACCAATTTCTAGAGAAATTGGCTGTAGAGACTACGTGGGTTGGAATGTTGCTTAGACCATGAAGGCTTTCTATCTTTACTGTCTTCTGTCAGTGCTCTTACTAACGACTTAATCTATAGAATTGGATAATTGCTCCTTGTAAAATATTTTTGAAAGCAATAGCACGGTCTTCGCTGCAAGGCTTGAACACAGTACGGCATGGTATTTCAGTCCGTTCACCAGAGACCCATCTGTAGCCTAGGATGCAGTGGGGAAGCACGGGGACGATAGCATCCCTCCTTTGGAATCTTTATAGCTGGACAGTGATCAACAGCGATTTTTGTTCAAGTGATGCTTTTGACACAGGAAACCTCTGACATATCCTGAGTGGGATGCCACCTGGGAGTTGGGGAGGTTTTTGGTAATGGACCTTCTCTCTTCTTCAGTCCCCAAGGACTCTCCCTTGGGATGCTGTTTAACCCACTGGAAATAATTCAGATTGCAAAATTTAGAAAAGGACTGCTCTCCTGCATGGCCTCAGTAGGATCTATCAGTTAGATCTCTTCTGCGGGAAACAGGGCACATGGACAGAGGTACCCTAGGTCCAGGTCTTGGGGTCTCTAAATCAGGACCTGGATCTGAGGGCCTCTTGCAGAACATGCTTGGTCAGTAACCAGGCCAGTAAACTCCCTCCCGACATATTGGATGATAATTGCCTAAATAGGCCTCCTCCTGATAGAACCCAGCTTGCTGGAGGGAAAACAGGTCATCCCTAATGAAGGCGACACTTTGTTTTGGGGAAGTTCCCTGTCTTCTCTGGTCCGACATGGACTGCATATTTCTACTTTAGTGGAAAAAAAACCCAGAAATAAAAACATGGCGTCTGCCCGTCTGTCTAAGGTGATGAGGTTGAGAACCAGGAACCTTCTTTCTCTGCCTTCTGGTGGTGCCTCTCTTCTTCTGCCTTGCCCGCCCCCTCCTCCTGTTTCCATACCACCTTGAGTGCAGCCTGTATAACCCAAGTACAATCCTGGGTGCCTCTGGCACCATTGGCTTCTCCCCTTACCATTCCTGTCAAGGAGTGATAATCACCCTCCTTGGACTGCCCACTTCAGATTGCCCCACTGGAGCCCCGGGTAAAAATTACCAATGGGGAACAAACTGATTGACTTTCAAGTGGACCCACGGGGAACATAACTTGGTTTTTAAACTAATTTAAGTTTGTGGATGTAATTTAGATAAACATGTCTTTAGAGTTTTCAGCATTAAAGATGAAATTTTTATTCTACCAAGTTTTCCTAAAGGTCAAATAAGTTTGTGTTATGTCTGTTGCAACCTATTAGCAAAAAGACGACTTAAAAATGATGGTTAACTTTCTCTTAAAGTTTTCATGGGTGACTCTGAAGATAGCTTTCAAAGTCTTTGGTAATCTGAAACTTAAGGTTTTGCTTGGATGATAAATTGGATTGAATTCGTTGGACATCTAGTTCTTTTCCAAATAAGATAAAGTGCCAAAGCATTGATTCCAAACATAAGGTTTAGCTGCGTTTGACTTCTTATTGCAGAGAAATTAAGGATTTTTGGGTCTGTTGGTAAGCATGCTTTGTGATTGATTCATGAATTTGCCATCTAAAGAATTCTAGCGTAACAGTTCACAATTGGTTACTACTTAGTTTTCACTGGAGATAAAGGTTTCTAAGAATGCAAAATTCTGCTAAATATAATTAAGACTGATAGAAATAAGGGAAGTGGGGCGCCTGGGTGGCTCAGTTGGTTAAGCGTCTGCCTTTGGCTCAGGTCATGATCTCACAGTTCGTGGGTTCAAGCCCCGTGTCGGGCTCTGTACTGACAGCTAGCTCAGAGCCTGGAGCCTGTTTCAGATTCTGTGTCTCCCTCTCTCTCTGACCCTCCCCTGCTCATGCTGTCTCTCTTTCTCCCTCTCTCTCAGAAATAAATAAAAAAACATTAAAATTTTTTTTAAAAAAAATAAAGGAAGCAACTCTTAAAAAGGATATAAGGAATGGAAATACATTTTTGTTGAAGGTAAAGGAAAGTAATTTTGTCCTAAAATAAGACTGGTTGTTTGGAGAGAAATGGCTTGGGACAAAAATGAATGCAAAGGAAAGTTGTAGAAGGTTTGTGAAGGGAAATCTTTGGAAAGGAATTTTATGTGCTGTCAAGACAGACCAAGGTTGAAATGGATTTTAAAAGTATACTGGTGTGAGATTGAAATTCTCCTTTTCTCTCTGTTCAGAAGACAAAGTTTCTTGAATTGTTGGTTTGTAATTGATAAGAAAATGTAAACAAAATTGTTTTTCTTTGTCTGCCTGGAAAAACCAGTTTCTATTCTTTACCTTTATGAGGTCTTTGATTATAATCCTACTTAGGCGTGTGCTTTAAATCCTTCTAAAGTTTTAACAAACTTCCCGGAGATTTAAAAATATAAACAAAGTCTCTGACTCATTCGGCTTGTTTATTTGGTATCTTATGTTCTAGTATAAGGCTGTCACTTGATATTCTGATTATTGAGGTATTCTGTGTCACAGAAATAACTGAATTTCCTTGTCAACTGCATCATCACATCGTTAACACTGTTCATTTTGGACTTTGTCATTTATAATTATTCTTATTCTCTTACACAATGTATTTCATCTTCAAGGAGATTCATAAAAAGGACTTTTGATAAATGCAAGTATTTGATATCGTTAAGATCATAAAACTGAAATGGGAAAGAATTTCCAGAACTGACTAAAAGCTGCATTTGAACTGAACAAGAATTAATAACATGGAACTAACTGAATTGAGAATAAATGATTCTAGCTTTTGTGATTCTTGTTTGAATATTGCTGGTTCTCTAATGTTCTTCCAGATTGAGGAAACTTTCTCTTAAGATGTCTATGACTTACAGAAATGTGACAAAGTATTCATTTGTGTGAACCAACTGAAACATTTAACTTTTCTCTCTACCTGAACCCTTTGAAATTCAAAAAGTCTCAGTGAGTATCATAATAATAATCATTCATGTAAGTTCAGTAAGAATCTGTTCTCCTTGTCACAGGGCACCATTGCAAACATTGGTTATTTTACCAAGGCTTTGACTGGAATGTCATACATAGACTCATGACCAAACAGCTTTAAGGAACTAAGGTTGACTTGTTATGTTATGTTATGTTATGTTATGTTATGTTATGTTATGTTATGTTATGTTATTTATTGTTGAGAGAGAGAGGGCATGAACAGGGGAGGGGCAGAGAGAATGGATGGGGGACAGAGGATCCTAAGCAGGCTCCGTACTGACAGCAGCAAGCCTGATGTGGGGCTTGAACTCACAAACCGCTGAGATCATGACCCGAGCTGAAGTCGGATGCTTAACTTACTGAGCCACCCAGGTACCCCAGGGTTGACTTTATGAAACATGGAGGGGCACCTAGGTGGCTCAGTCAGTTAGGTGTCCAACTTGGACTCAAGTCATGATCTGACGGTTCATGGGTTCGAGCCCCATATTGGTCTCTGTGCTGAAAGCTATCTCAGAGCCTGGAGCCTGGATTCTGTATCTCCCTCTCTCTTTGACCCTCCCCTGCTCACGCTGCCTCTCTCTCTCTCTCAGAAATAAATTTTAAAAACATTAAATATTTTTAAAAATTCAGCAATGTGTCTTGGGGATCTTTCTATGTTTGTTCACACAGTTCAATCTCATTCTTTACTTCACTTATGGTATTCCACAGCGCTGATGGGCACGGACAGGGCCTTTGCTTGTCAACACAGACAATACCACAGTCTTAGCACATACCATAGGTGTATGGGTGAGTTTGTACCAGGATGGAAATTGTTGGGTTACAGGACATGATTTGAATTTTAGAAGGTGTTGACAAACCATCCTCCAAAATCACTATACCATTTTACAAGCTCACCTGCAGGAAATGCCTTGCCAACACTTTACAAACTTAATTTTTGTTCATCTGATAGATGGAAAAATAGTCTCTTGCTGTTGTCATTTGCAGTTCTTGGATTATAAACATCTTTTCAACAGGTTTTGGGAGTTGTTTTTGGCCAGGAGTATTTCTATTTCTGTAAACCCTTTGTTCATAGATTTTTGTCCATTTTATTTCTTTTGAGAAAGAGAGTGTGAGCAAGCATGGGAGGGGCAGAGAGAGGAGAGAAAGAATCCTACGCAGGCTCCTTGCTGTGAGTGCAGAATCTGACGCGGGGCTCGATCTCAAGAACCGTGAGATCATGACCTGAGCCAAAACTAAGGGTCAGATGCTTAACTGACTGAGCCACCCAGGTACCCCAGTTTTTGTCCATTTTAAAAGAGTCTTAATGATTTCTAGGAGTTCTTTAGTCTTTGTAATGGGTACTTTTTGTCTCACTTGCCATCTTGTCATTTACTTTTGCTTATTTGTAACTTTTCTTAGAAAATTTTTGAATTTGAGTCTCATTCAGCATTTATGAGGTTCCTGTTAAGGGCTGGGATCAGAGATGATCTGGATGCCATCTCTGTTCTCCGTCACCCATCCAACAGACTGGGGCACTTTGCTGGAGCCGGAGCCCCCAACCAGGTGTCTGGGACTAAGAAAGCTTCGGACGAAACTCGACCCAGAGAGAGAGGCTGCTGAAGTTTTCTGTAGAGGTAGGAAGAAAGGAAGGAAGAGGAAATGGATTACCAGAGGGAGAATGTAGACAAGAACCGTCAGGTGGCCATTACTGTCTTCCAAAGGAGAGAGCAAGTTGGCACTTTCCCGTGGTAGCTTCTGTAAAAACTCCCTTGGACCAAAAGGCATATCACCCAGTGATTTGACAATTGTATACATTACTCAGTGCTCACCATGGTACCTGGAAGGATTGTACTTTCCTGCCCCCTTTGAAGACCAGCATGACCACATGCCCTGCTTTGTCCAAAACAATGCTAGGAGATGTGACATATAGCTCTTCCAGGAAGAGAAATCTCTGAAGCTGGTGATTATTTGCTGAGCTCCTCCCTCACCGCGCGAGCCCTCCATATTCAGTATCATCCCATTTGGGGTCGCTGAACCTGGGACTCTGAGCAAAAATATTTGCACAGAGCCATTCCTCCAAATTGCCCAACATACAGTGGTCATATGACAGGAACAAGAAGTAAATCTGTTAAGCCAAAAAAAAAAAAAATTCTTGTACTTGATACTATTCAATTTGCAAATCCTTCATTTTATGGCTTTTTTTTCCTTAATGTCTTATTTAGAGAAACCTATCCTAAGATCATAAATATTCTTACATTTTCAGCAATACTGCAGCTTTGTGTTTAATGTTGGGCCTTAGGTTGTAGTCATAGGAGTTCGTTTTAGTGAATGGTGTGAGGTAGGGTTCTGTTTTTTTCATATTTATTTTTGAGAGACAGAGTACGAGGAGGGGCAGTGAGAGAGAGGGAGAGAATCCCAACTAGGTTTCACACTGTCAGTGCAGAGCCCAATGCGGGGCTTGAACTCATGAACGATGAGATCATGACCTGAGCCAAAATCCAGGGTCAGACGCTTAACTGACTGAGCCACCCAGGTGCCCCTCTATTATTTTTAATTGGCAAGTCATTGCCCCAATCCTATTTATCGGTTAGCCCACCAGTTTGAAGTTCTGTCTTTATCACACTACATTCCCACCTAGAAGGGTGTGTTTCTGAACTCCAGTTCCGTGAAGTCCACAGTACCTTCATACAGTTCTGCTTGGCATTTACACCACATCCTCGCAGGGATCCCAGTCCCATTTCACACCTGTGTCCCCTCCAACTGTGCAGTCTCGGCTTTTTCCTAGTGCTTGCTCTCACGGCTTGGGCAAGAACCTCTAGCTTTGAACGCAGCTGGGGTATAGGGTGTTGTATATTGCAGTGATTGGATTTACATCTTGGAAATGCTCCACGTAGCCTTACTCTCCTCTGGCCTTTACTCCCAAAAGAAATCCAGCTAGACACCAGCAGCCTAAATGCTATTTATTGAAACGAGCAGAGAAGAGAGAGTACAGTCCCCCGAGGGGCAGAATGGCACCAAACAGAACAGTGCAAGCTGGCCTCCTGCTCAGCAGATCTTCTTGTTGCCCCACTGGGCCATCTTGTTGTTGATGGGCATCTTCATGAAGCGGTCAGACTGTATGTAGTTAGCGATCTTCTCCAAAGCCTGAAGGGAAAGTGCACCAAACCTGAGAAAGACTCTAACCCAGTGCACCAGACCCATTCCGAAGCAGTGACATCCACACACTGCCTGCCCCACACCATCCCTCCCTCCCCTGGCTGCCATTTCATGTAGACAGCGCCTTTAGGGTGTAGAAGCCAGGCCCTTCCCAAGACAGAAAGGTTTAGCAGTGTCCAGCCATTGACCCCCTTTAAGCAAACGCTGGTGCTGAGAAAGAACCTATGACAGTGGGGTCCCTTGAGGATCAGGGGAGGTTGTCAGTGTTTCCGTAAGAGAAAGGTACAGGGAGCATCACCTCAAAACGGCACATGAAAGCCTTCAGGTTTGGAAATTCATCCAGGCACTTGGGCTCAAACATACGGTTCTGATCCAAGACATCATAGGTGAGGAAATCCACAAAGGTGAGCTAGAAAAACAGTAAGACGGTCAGTTCTGGGGAGTTCGTTAACACTGGGGAGATAGAAAGGCATCTTCTCCCTTTCCTTTCTTCTTACCTTTTCCCCTGCAAACCATGAGAATTTCCCCAGAAACAAGGAGAACTGTTTCAGTTGTCCAGGTAGCTGTTCCAAGTACTGAGGCTTCAGTGTTTCCTGGAAGGGAGGGGGAGAGAGAGAGACAATAGCTGTCACAATAGTCAGGGCACAGCCAGTGATGGATATTTAGTGGCCCCCTTCTCCAGGTGCCTTCCTTTTACTGCCTTCAGTAGGCGTGGCAGGACAGAAAGGAAGAGGGGCCAACATCTCAGAGTTGTATGACAAATGGAACCCCCCAGGTCCCAATAGGGAATATAGGAAATAAAGGAGCTCTGTTTCCTCTTCTGACAAACTGGGTTGGTGGGAAAGCAGAAGTACCAGAATGGAGCAGAATTACCCCTTGGTTTCTCAAAATGGTCCTTCTCCTTAATGCCTGCCTGCTAAGGAAACTCACAAGGTTAGGGCTGTAGCACAGTCGTATCAGTTGCATGCGGAAATCCATTATTTGGTTCTCCATGATGTCCACTCGAATCTTTTCTTCTTCAGTCTCGCCACCTGTAGGCCAAAGGATGAGAAATGACCCTTGGAATTCTCCACCTTCAGGAGAACCACCAGCCCGGTCTCCCCCACCAGCCCTACCCTACTCACACATATTGTGCTTGCGGGCGATGTAGCGCAAGATAGCATTGCTCTGGGTGATCTTGTTCTTACCGTCCATGAGATAGGGCAGCTGCAAGGAAAAGGACATGTCAGATGAACAACCAACTCTCTCTTACGTCCCCGCCTCTCTCTCCTGGGGCTGATGAGACTTGCAGGGGCATGAACAGTAGAGATGCTATGTTAGGAGGAAGAAGGCAAGAAGCAGAAGATGGCAACTGGGTCCCCACTTGGTACCAGAACTGGGGTTCTTAATCTCTGTGTGTGTATGTGCATGCCATGGACCCTTTCTGATAATACGATTTTTAAAATGCATAAAGCAAGTTATATATTTTTCCACAATTTATACAACATTAAAGAAACAAAATTATGGTAGAGTAATTAATGCACTAAAAAAGCAGGCGTAACAACCTATCATAATTTCAAAGTATGCATATGAATAATATTTCGGTACAATATCTGCCACACGTGTAACAGAATATGAAAATACCCAATTTCTGCTAGTGACAAGGTCACAGGCATGGCTAATAACCTATGTCACGTATTGCCTATATTCACAAGAGAAGGAACTGTTAACTTTTAGTTAGCGGTTAGTGGAAATGAAAATGTAATTTTTTTCTCCAAGTTCAGGCACCCTTGAATTCTATTTATTGTATCCAGGTTAAAGGCCCCTTTTCTAGGTCCCCCTAGACCAGAGAGGAAAGAAGAAGCAAGGGTATGCTTGACGGCCTTCCCTTCTGCCACCCCTTCTCCCAAAGCCACCTACATTAGGAAAGTCCAAGTCGAGCTTGAATTTCACATCCAGCCATTGGCTTCTATCATAATCGGGAGCTGTAAGAGAATGAAGTGGAACCCGACCTCCTTAACATCCTGCCTGAGGAGTGTGGGAAGGTCTAAGGAAATAACCTGATCCTAATACCTCACATTCCCAGCCCTCCAGGTTAACTATTTGCGTCTCTGGTCAGATGCGGTTGGACCTTGGCAGGAGGAGGATCCCCAGCTCCAGATAAAGGAGGCTTCCATCTCTTCCCACACGGGACACAGCAGGGGGCTCCCCGGGGACCGGGGCAGACGTCCCAACCAACTTAGTCGTGATGCCACCTTCTGGGCACAGGAAGACAGTGGCAGTTGGAAGGCCAGCGGCTTAGCGCTGGGGCGCACGGACACCGGGAGCTGCATTACCTTCCCCGCACGTATACCGTTTCTCCTCATAGGATGTATCCGTGAACTCCAGGAGCATGCGGATGGCGTGCGCCAGCTGAGGGATAAAGCCCCCTCGGTCAGCGCCTGCGCGGCGCCCACTTGACCCCAACCCCCGCCCACCAACTGCCTCGCCCGGACTGTGCGGTAGTTAAGCGGCATCCCAGAGGCCGGCCAAGCCGTATCCTCAGCCCTATCCGGGGCCCGCGATCCCAGAGGCGGGGTGGGGTCGGCCCCTGTGGTCGGGGAGCTCGTCTGGGGCAGGCTGCTCTGTGGCGAGGGACGCCAGGCTCTCAAGTAGACCCCTTTTCTCAGAGGCAGCTGGCCCTGAGCCCCCCGCCACCTCCACGACAGTCTCTCTGACCTAGTGGCTCTGCCGTCGAGACCGCACTCACCCCGCGAATATCCCAGTAACCCAGAACCATGGACGACTTGGACGACATCGTGATGTTTCTCTGTGCCTTTCGAGGACCGAACGGAGACTGCGAACCTGCGGGGCCTTATAACCGACGTAAGTGGGCGGGGCCAACGTGTGCGCTCTGGCCCCGCCCCTACCCGTCTCTGACTCCGCCCCCACCTGTCTCCATCCGGCTGCCAGCGTGGGTCCGCGACGCACGCGCTGTGACCCCTTGGCAATGGCAATCCCTGGGTTTGGGCCTGGGTAGCCGCCGAGACTGTTGGGTTTGGGGCTCTGCGCTCCCCAGCGGTGGAGCTGCGCTCAGTTGGTTAATAGTGTCAGCCAGGGCTGGAGGAGCATCAACAACGCAAGCAGCCAGAGCCCTGGTTAGTCCTGGAGAGTGAGATTCATGTCCAGTTTCTCTAGCAGCAGCGAGTGGGTGGTGGGATAGGGGAGGTGAGCAAGTACCAAGAGGTGATAAAGGAAATTTTCAGCTTTTAACGTTTGTGGTCCTTGCCCCTGGGCGTCCAGGGAGGCTATACTTTTACCAAGGTCAGAATGACTTCACCAAACTTCAAAGCATGGGTGCTATTTCTGCCTTGAGCACACATTATACATCTACTTCGTTAGTAAATAACCCAAAGGAAATATTTCAAACTAATGATAAGAGTAAAACCTCCCTAAGTTCTGTTCCCATACCTCCGAAGCCTGCAACCTCGACATGCTAAAGTCTAAGACGAAGGTTGTGATTTTCTGCAAAGTGCTTCATCACGATGATTTGAAACTTGATGTAACAAAAAAACATATATAACCCTGTGTTAAACATTTCTTCTCACGGGGCACTCTCTTTGTGAGGATAGTGTGCCCTGGGCAGCTGTCTTCACCTGGGCGTGAATAAAATGCTCTCCCCACTCCCGCTGGTTTTTTTTATTTTGTTTTGTTTTAATTCTAAAAGGTTCATTTTTCTTTTTTTAAAGAATTTTTTTAAATGTTTTATTTATTTCTAGGAGAGAGAGAGAGAGTGAGTGAGCAAGGGAGGGTCAGAGAGAGAGAGTCAGACTGAAACAGGCCCCAGGCTCCGAGCTGGCAGTCAGCGCAGAGCCCGACGCGGGGCTCGAACCCACGAACCGCGAGATCATGACCTAAGCGAAAGTCGGACACTTAACCGACTAAGCCACCCAGGCGCCCCTTTTTTTTAAAATATTTTTTTAAAGAAAAATTTTTAATGTTTTATTTATAGGTTTGTTCATTTTTCAAGGACAATTCTTGGCACAGTCGGCAGGATATCAGAGCAACTTACCTGCCAGCATCCGGGGTGGCATCGGGAACTCGGTGCTCAGTATCAGCATGGGCCCTTTGTGCCCCTCTGACTTCTCAGCCCGTGACAGGCATATTTTGGTGAGTTCTGATGTCCAGACCTCCATCAATTTGAGTTGGAGATCCTGAATTTTAGTCTCGCTGTTAAAGGTTACCAGTAATGTTCTCTAGGTGGGAATAACCCAGAGGGGGGTTGATGGATTGGTTGTTTTAATTTGGCATTATACTGATATTACTAATATAAGGCTTGAATAAATTTTATGGCTAGAAATATGAGAGACTGAATCTCTCAGCTCCCAGGAGAAGTGACACTTGCTCCTTCTGGCCAAATGGTGCTTTCTTCAGGTGACTGAAACCCTAGAAGGAGCCTCCGAGAAAATAATTTTGTCCTGAAAGGAGCCTGGTTATTTACAGAGGGAAAATTTAGGACAAAATCTAGATAAGAAAGAAAGTTGTAGAAAGTTTGTGAAGGAGAATCCTTGAAAAAAATTTTATGTGTGGTGAGGACAGACCAAGACTGGAATAAAAAGAGTTTTAAAAGTACACTGATGTAAAATTAAAACTTTCTTTTTCTTTCTGTTAAAAAAAAGACAAGAGTTTCTGGGATTATGGGTATGCTCTTGATAAGAAATTATAAACAAGGTGTTTTCCTATTTGCTTGTTTCCTATTTGCTCAGAAAAACAAGGTTTCTGTATTTGTTTCTATCAGGTCTTTAATTACTTAAAAAAGCTAAATCTTCTCAATATTAAAAGAACTAAGTTTTGCTAATAATTATATAACCTTCCATAAAATCTTTTATGGCCCCCTTGGTTAAAGAGTAATTAAATATTAAGTTTTATAATAATCTATGATCCTATGTAGACACAAGCTTTAAAACATTCTAAGGTTTTTTTTTTTTAAACAAACTTCCCAGAAATTCAAATCCTAAATACTCTTTTTTGACTAATTAGGCTCATTTATTTGGTACGATAAGTTACTTGGAAAGCGCTGCCAAATAAATAATAAGCCTTAGGTTGTATCGTGTGGATAAATGCTATAACTGTTTAGAAGATACACGAGGTGCGCCTGGGTGGCTCAGTCAGTTGAGCATCTGACTCTCGGTTTCAATTGAGGTCACGATCTCATAGTTTGTGAAATGGAGCCCCACGTCGGGCTCTGTGCTGACAGTGCTGAGCCCTGCTTGGGATTCTCTCTCTCATTCTCTGCCCCTCCTGTGTGCTCCCTCTCTCTCTCTCAAAATAAATAAATAAACTTAAAAAAAAAAAAAAGAAAGCATGAAATTCCTAAAGTTTTAATATGTCCTGTCATAAGGTGATCACTTGATATTATGATTCTTGAAATGCTATGTGACACAGAAATAACCAGATCTCCTTGCCAGCTATATTATAATGAGCTCTCATATCAGACTTTTAACCATGTCCATTTTTAAATCTTTTGTCATTTATAATTATTATTCTGATGCTCTTGCAAAATGTGTTTTGTCTTCAAGGAGACTCATAAAAGGAACTTTTTGAGAAATACAGGTATTTGATATACCTTTAAGGTCATAAAACTAGGCTGAATAAAAATTTCTAGAATAGAAAAAGCTGCATTTAAAAAGAGTTAATAACACGGAGCTAAATGGATTGAGAAAGATGATTATAGTTTTTAGTGACTTATTTAAAACATTGTTGGTTCTCTAATGTTTGCTCTTTCAGACTGTGGAAGCTTTCTTTTTAAGATATCTATGATCTACAGAAATATAATAAAATATTCCTTTGTGAACAAAGTGAGGCATTTAACTCTTCTCCCCACCTGAACCCTCGGAAATTCAGAAACTCTCAGTGGGCATACTTTCTTTCATGGCAATTATAACTACTTGCATAAATTCAGTAAAAATCTGTTCTCCTTGTAACGGGACACCATTGGAAACATTGGTTATATTATCAAGGCTTTGACTGCAATGTCATATTCTAAAGAAACTTGCATAGAGTCAGATATGACCAGAGAGTTTTAAGGAATTAAGGTTGACTTTATGAGAGTCCCTTGGAAATGTTGGCCTGATACCCTTCCTTTTAGAGTTCCCAGCAGCCTTACTTGTAAGGAAAGAATGTCACTTCCTGGCAGGGGCAAGAACCTCAGGATATTTTGGGGGCCTCGAGGAGAAGAATTTGCCCAAATCTAGAGGTTACAGGCAAGTTTGATGGCAAGTATTTAGATTGGCTTCTGGTCTCAAGAGGGTATTTTAAAGTGTAATCTAGAGATTTCTTATAAAAAGTTGCAGCAAAGCAAGTTTTAAAGAATCTGTATGGTCAGTCACTATTCTTGCTGAGCGTATGTAAGTAGTTAGGCCAAGTTTGTTAAAACGACTTGTTTTACTAACCAGTTAGTCTCGGTTTGGCTATCTTTATGAATGAGCATGATTAGGGGCACCTGGGTGGCTTAGTTGGCTAAGCGTCCAACTTCAGCTCAGGTCATGATCTCACAGCTCGTGAGTTCCAGCCCCATGTTGAGCTCTGTGCTGACAGCTCAGAGCCTGGAGCCTGCTTCTGCCCTCCCCCCCCCGCCCCCGTCCCGCTCACACTCTGTCTCTCTGTCTCTCTCAAAAATAAATAAACATTAATAATTTTTCTTTTAAAAAAAGAATGAGGGTGATTATAGGAAGAATATATGTTTCAAGAACACATATTTGTAGATAGTAGATTTTAATACTGTTTGTTATCAACTAGACTAGATCCTGAATTCTCCTGGTTTCCTCAAATATCTAGCTTTGGCTTTCCAAACTAAGGTTTCCAGTCTTCTTCCATTCTCTTAACTAAAACTGCCCTTTTTCCCTAAAGCCCTAAACAGATGCTAGACAACTTGACCTCAGCTTCAGAGAAATTGCCACAAAGCTCGTGTGTAGACCATCTTTGTGCCTGATATCACCAGAGACATTTGGTGATTATGATTTAGAAAAACCCATCTGGTTTCCACTGCCCGGTTTACACTCTGTCTGAGGATGCTTCCAGCCTGACATCTGAAGAACTGTCTCTGATAGCTCCCTTCCATTAGCACAAGGGACCAAAATTTGAGTCCCGCACACCTCAGTTCCTTCCATTGCAAAGACCCTACTGTGCCCTATTTGGGTTTGAAGCAGTTATAGGAGATGGACCTCCACCCATGTTCCATAGAAATGGAATGAATGATTGACAGAAGGAAATTATAACAGGGGGAAAAATTTTGACATGTCTCACTCCATGTTGCTTCTATTTCCCTTGCTGCTGTGACCTTTAAGTGAAAAACTTCTGCTTAGCCCAGCACATAGGCACGTTACAGCTAAGGTTTGTAAAAACTGCTCTTTACCCCAAACCTCATCTGAAAAATAAAGAAGTGGACAAAATGGTTATTGTCTTAATTCTTCAAGATTAAGGAGGGATCATAACTTGAGAATTGAAACCGTGCTCCACAGGGTTAATGAAGTTAAAACTAACAAAATGTTTAAAGCTTCTTTTTCAGACAACCGTTTCCTCTTAATCACCTATTGTGTTTTTTCAGACCCCACTAACAAACACATTCACTAGCTTTCTCTGCAGAGGCCTGGACTCAAGGTCAACTGATATGGTTCCAGCCTAGGAATAAGCAAGGCCCTGCCTTCCTTACCTAAGATAACAAGCCCAGACCCCATCTAGTTTATACCAGCTCTTGGAGCATGCTCATAGCCACTTTTCTTTATGCTAAGAAAACCTGAGGTCAGGGACTGAATTTTGCCTTCTTCTGATGTTAAGTTACCACTCCAAAGAAACATGGGAATATACATTATGTTTGGTCTATGCCCATGCTTCATCCTTC